AATAAATTACACTAAATCCAATAAAAAAGAAATAGGGTGTATTATAATGTTTATATGAACTTTCCAAATTAACCAGTTCACTAGAATGCATCGGACTTTCCACACTGGCATTGTCAGGGGCTGCCAGGCGAAGGAGTTCGAAGGAGAACGCAGGAGGCAGATATACAACAAACAGAGTCTTTTAATAAAGCCACTGGGGAGAAATGTAGAAAACAACCACTTTCAACGATGGAGACAGGACAAAGAAACTTAGGAAAGGCAGGACTATTTATACTGACCAAACGATCGACTAATAAGATAATAAATGAACACAGGTGGAAACTACAGTTCACTTTCTTGTTTTTTGGGTCCTGTCTTCTGTCAGGGGTTGCCAGGCGAAGGAGCTTGAAAGAGTACGAAGGAGGCAGATATCAAATAAACAGAGTCTTTTAATAAATCCACTTGGGAAAAACCAGGAGAAAACAACCTCTTTACATGATGGAGACAGGACAAACAAACTGAGGATAGGCAGGGCTATAAATATTAAACCAAACGTTGGACATATAAGATAATTAATGAACACAGGTGGAAACTAATTAACTAATCAAGCAACAAAGGAAAACTAGGACAAGGCAGGGAGAACAGAAACACAGAACATACACGTGACAGGCATATGAGAGAGAATATTTATGAAACGATTCATTCAATTTAATTCAAGTTTATTTGTATAATGCTTTTCATGATACAAATCGTTGCAAAGCAACTTTACAGAAAATTACGTTTCTACAATATATTTAGTAGTAGCTTATCAGTGGGTGACTGTCAGTTAATGTACATATGGCAGAAATGTACGGAAAAATCAATTAAAGACATAATCAAACAGACGATGAACACTATTAACAGCAATTATTATATGATGCAATCAAACCTATAGCAAAATGTGGTAGTTCTGTATGTTGTTTCAGGGTTGGCATCATCTGAGGTCCTCTGAGGGGTTAGCAACATCTCTTCTCAGGTGTTCTGGATCCAGACTGAATCAGATTTTCCAGTGTTACCTGTGAGAGAGGAATGTTTGAGATGAATCAGAATCAGACTTACCACTTGAGTATTAGAAATAATTTTTATGAAACGATTCAATCAAATGAGTAAATGTTTCCAATACTACATCTGAGAGCAGAATGTTTGATGAATCACTTTACTAGAATAAATCAGACTTTACACAGAATGTTTATGAAGCGATTTACTCAAATGAATCAAATTTTCCAGTGCTACATGTGAAAGAGAATTGTTTGAGATGTGTCCGCTTAATAGAATGAATAGACTTTTCACTTTTGCATATGAGAGAGAATGTTTATAAAATTCACTCAAAGGAATCAAATTTCCCAATGCTATATGTAAGAGACGAATATTTCAGATGAACCAGTTTTTAGAATACATCAAAATTTCCAACATCACATTTAAAAGAAATGTTTAGGGTAAACTGGTTCAGTAGAATAGTTGTCATACTGTCAATAAGACACATACATGCGCACATTTACTTTTGTCGCACATTTATCTTTCCTTGGAAAATTGTGATGGAAATCTCTGGGAAGCTAAGTGACCATGTAACAGGAAATGCTTGTTCAGGCTCACTGCTCTGCAATCTCCAGCATGGCCAGGAACAGTAGTGAAATGTTTGTAACTTTCTGGCTCGCAAGAGCTGAGCTGTTTCGAATCTATTGCTGAGAAGCTATTACCAAGGTCTTATCTCCCAGTGACATGTTGCTGTTGAATCTGACTTAATTTTTATTATTGGTCTGAGTCATCTGTGGCCTCAAATTTCCAGGGATGGTTCTGTTGCTGGAGTTTGATTAATGAACAGTGTAAACTCTATCTGTACCTTTCTCCTCCAGGCACAGATGACCAGTGAGGTAACCCAATTAATCGAGACATGTCATCCTATACGAAAACTACAGTTTGACAGCAGTGAAGCTCTCAAAAAGTACGACAGTAGCAGTAACAAAGAACTTTAAAGACTTAAGGTTCATTGTCAATGGCATTGTCACAGCTCCTCCTATGAGACATCGGCCTAATGAGCATTAGCTCCAAGGGGATTGTTCCCTAATTTCATTTCATAACGCATTTTGCCATGTTAATGGATTTGACATGCAGTTGGCAGGACTGTATGAGGAGCTGCGGAAGTGGACAGCTCACGTTCAGTGCAGTTTTTTCACAGAACAGGTGCCACATCACCAGGTTTCAGTTTTGATCCTTGGCCGATTGAAAGCACCTTTGAAGATGACTGTTTCTTAATTAAGTTCAGGAGAAAGTCAGTGAAGCCATTAATTGTTTTAACTTTGGATGTTTAATTACGATTTCAGTCAGGACTTCAGATAAAAGATGCTGGCAAATCTGCACGGCTTGAACATCTTTATGTTTGTGCGACTGCCTTGTGGAAATTACATACTTTTTACTCCTGATGAGATGCTAAGTGGTAGGCTCAGGTGTTTTTTTTTGTTTTTGTGTTTTGTTTTTGGGGGCGGGGGGGGTGCTGCCGACATCATCTCAGAGTACAAAAAAATATTTGTGGTGAAATTTGAAGTATATTATTTCACATTCAGTACTTTTCCTGAATATGCAAACTTGATATATTATGATTAATGCACTCACAAAGTACAGTAGTTGAATTACTGTATGATTGTGTCTTTTTTTATCTGTATCTGTTGATCTGTGTTTATGAAATAAAGCTGAAATAAAATAAGTGAAATGTTGCCTTGGCAACTAACTGAAATAAAATAAGTTGAAGTACTAAAATTATTAATACAAAAAAAATGTAAGCTAAATAGAAATATTTTAAAATAAGCACATAACAAAATTAATACAATTATAAAAATCTAAAAATAAAAGCTATATTTCAGAATATAAATAAATACTATAGTAGTATATAAATAATATTAAAATAACACTGCTTAACTGTGGATGTAACTTTTTTTTACTAGAGTGCTCATTTGATTGTTTTTCTTTTTCACATTTGTCCATTTTTAAAAAATTAATCTGTGCATAGAAAATCAAGGTAAACATTTAAGTGTTACATAAAAGTAGAACATAAAAGTTTTTCTACTGTTAAAAGTTAATTAGTGTACATTGTTCAGTCTTAAGGTTTTTTTACCATTGTGACATCCTTCATCTCTTCAACACATTCGCTGTGTTTTTAACTGAGCAGACACTCAGTAATGTGTTTCAATGAGTGCCATATCAAGTGTTATAAAAGCTGTTGCCACTCAGAAAAAAAAAGTGCAGAAAATTGGTCAAATTGTTCTTCTATTTAAAACAGCACATCAGATGGGAACATAGGGATCTTGAGATACATTTTAAAACTTTTAACTAAATACAGCAAAAAGTATAGCAGTGATCAGTTTTTTTCATTGATCACACACATATTTAAATGTGTAATTCGGATCTGATCTGCTCTTTTTTCAGATGTATGCCAAACCACTGTGAACATGGAGGCCGATGCAGTCAGACCTGGGACGGCTTCACATGCTCCTGTGATGGGACGGGCAAAAACAAAAGTGTTGCGTTTATAATTTTGTTCAGTGTATGTGTTTGTGGTTCATTGCTGGGTAATTATTCTAATTACATGTCATGCTTTCTTGGAAATTAAGGATTCTTTTGTGTCAACCTCGGCATGTGACATAAATGCACTGCTACAGAAATGGCAGAGAACAAAGAAAAGCATTCTGTTTTCTGTGAAATAAAGGGAAATGTGGAAAAGGGAGAAAGGGAAACACACGAGAGGAACACAATTCTGTTTAACTAACATTGAAAATACCTTTCTGAGAAATGTCACGGTTCTTCGTAACAGTATTTGCTTTCCTTATATTTACCCATGAATAACATGTTTATGACGTAAAAAGCTTCATGTTTCCACTGTTTTCGTAGCAGCTGAAACAAAAAATTCTGAGATTTTCTGTTTGTTACCAGGAAAAGGTAACGAGGTGAAATGGAAGCACGGGAGACTTGAATAGGCAATGATTTCAGTAGAGTTTGCCATTAGCATGTTGCTAAGCTTATGATTAGTTTTAATTACACTGAAATATTTTAAGTTTACTACCTTTCGGAATTACCTTCACATCTGGAGTGGCACCTACAACTCCTTCAAACACTCGTTAGGTCTTGAAACAGAGCTATTGATTGATATGAAAAGTCTGTTGTATTCTCTGTGAAGTCTGTTTGGGATCAGTTCTGAGAGAAATAGTTCAGAATCACTACTGAGTGAAACTTTTTAAGTCCCCAGGGGTTAGATGGAGAGGAGAAGAGACTGCAAGTTACACAGCGGCACCACACATAAGTCAATAGAAAGATGTTGAACTCCATTGAGTTACTTCCCTCAGACCTCTCCATATACAAAAGCAAGTTTGTACTGGTCAATAGTCAGGCTAGAAAAAACAGTGTGTATATATATATATATACTATTGACCAGTACAACCTTGTTTTAGTATTTGGACAGGCACAATAAATATATTGTACTCTATATATTACACTAGCAAAGATGCTTTTTCTGTCATTTAACATTTATTGACTAAATACTTTCTATTTAGCTCATGCTGTTCTTTCCAAGTGACTTACAGTATGATTGCTGGGATAGTTTTGTTTTGTTTTAATAATGAATAATTTGGTTTTATTTAAGACTGTGGAGGGCGAACCTCCAAAAATTATACATTATAATTATAAAGTATGATTATAAAGTTAATAAAGAGATTCTAATAAAAATATGAATGCTATTTATTAAAGCTTTTATTTCTTATTTCATGCAGCTGGTTATGAGCAGTCCTGTGAGGCCTACAAGCATTTGGGGAGATCATCTGATTCCTACTGGATTGACCCAGATGGAAGCGGACCATTAGGTCCTTTTAAAGTCATCTGCAACATGACAGGTAAAATGTGCATTTTTTATTTATTTGTGGCGTACCATAGCACTGAATCCAAAAAGCCCACCGATTGCACCTGATTAATAAATCAAGCCTTTTACTGAGTATTACATGCTTTCAAGAACCCCTGTATCCCAAGCTTCTGAGTCAGGTTTTTAAAATCCCTCCTATCGCCTTCAGAGACAATCTTTTATTTCAGCATCTCAACCCATTTGTTTTCAAGCCTACTAAGCATTATCTCATCAGCCTAGGTCCACGTCATCCCACTGATCCAAAAATAAATAACTAAAATAAATGGAAGCCTTACATGTAGGAACATCAAGACATAAAATGTTATCATTTCAGGGCAGGAACTGTAGTCATCTTAGAGCATAGGAAATCCCTGAGAGGGCATGGTAGAGAGCAAAAATAATTCTGAAAAGAAAGTGTCTGTCAATTTCAGAAATGTGTTTTCTTAATTTAAAATTATATATATATTTTTTTAAGGGTAAATCTTGTGATTCTTTGAAGTGAGAAGGATTATGGCTACAGGATCAGGTGGATTTGAATAATATAAACAAAAAATGTTTTTTAGAATGTCAGTTTTTATTAGGTCCCATTAAATAAAAATGAATACATGGAAGGAAATATTGCCATAAACAAAGCTGTTTACACACATGGATCCAGAATGTGTTAAATCAGTTTGTAATTGCTTATTTAGTGATTTGTTACTTTAATGAGAAAATCACTTCTTGTTTTCATGGGTCAATTTAAAAACAAAGAAAAACATTAACTTTTTCTTAAAAAATAATACATTTGGAAACTTCACTGTGGTATGTGTTTTGCCCTTTTAGCTTGATAAAATTCTAAGATGATTATTAATTATGAATCATTTATCATTTGTTTTTAATTATTAATTAAATATTATGTATACACTACTGTTCAAATGTTAGGCGTCATTACCTTTTTTAAAGAAATTAATACTTTTATTCAGCAAGGATGCATTAAAATTGATCAAAGTGGCATTTCTGAAGGTTCAGCTTATGGTACAGTATTAACATATATTTTGATGAATCTGTCAACTTTTCTTGCAGTGCCAGTCAGTTTACCTTTTTATGACCATTATTATATCTGGGTTTCAGAGGATAAGGTTTGGACGACTGTGGTGAATAACCTACCGGCGCAGACAGCGGTGACTGGCTCCAGCCGGGAGAGACGGCTGGTACTGCAGCTGAACTACAGTGCCTCTGTGGAGCAGGTCACAGCTATAACCAACAGTGCTGAACACTGCGAGCAGCACGTAGCCTACGCCTGCCGAATGTCACGCCTACTCAACACACCAGGTACAGAGAGATCGTCTGAGTGTGTGTGTGTGTGTGTGTGTGTGTGTGTGTGTGTGTGTGTGTGCGCACTTGTGTTGCAGAGTATAGATGCTTATAGGGACTTGTGGGGTGATAGAAGGTTATCTAAAACCTTGAATAAAAAATGTAATTTTACCCAACTGTACTGATACTTCTTACCGGAACAAATGAGGGTCAAGTGTCTTGATAACGGGGTAAACTGATGGGTAAAATAGGATTGTGACCTTAATAGCCCCTCCGTGGCTGATACGCTCCCACTCTCCACTGCTCTCTGTTTGAACCTGCTTATTTTTGGCGGTTTGCCCAGTTGCTCAACTGCAATACCACCCCAGAACGTGGTTTATGTTGGTTGTTGTTTATGGTTTCAGGAGAATTAGTGTTACATTTGCTCACTTTCTATGCGTATGTGTGGGCTAACAGCTGGACTTAACAACAAATTAGTGCTAAATGAAATCATAACAATGCAGAAGTGTTTCCACAGAAATAATATAGTTGAATTGTTAGAGAAACAAGTTAACTAAGTATGAATACATTTATGAACATTTTTCCTGGTTAACAGGGTGGGCAGCGTAAGATTCACTTGCTAATAGCTCCATGTGCGCTCTTCTAATTAGCGGTTTATGAGATTTAAATGGACAAGCTGTTTATGGATTCTGCAGAAGAATTAGTTAAAGGTTAAAATGTAACAAGTAAAGTAAATGTAATGAAAATAGAAGGTTTTTTCAAATCTGTTCTCAAGTAAAGATCTTTGAATTGGTTAATTATGTGGGGAAAAAAGCAGGGCTTTCAATTTATGTTAAGCATATTTATTTAGCATACTGTATATGGTAATAGAGTATATACTAGTCAAGTCAGGTCAAGTCACCTTTATTTGTATAGCACTTTATACAATACTGGTTGTATCAAAGCAGCTTTACAGTGTCAAACAGGAAAATAGTTTGTCAGTAATGCAAGAGGACAATAACAACGAGTTAATAGGAAACATATATGCTATTGTTAAAAAGTTTGGGGTCAGTAGAATTATTATTATTATTATAATTATTATTAAATCAATACTTTTCTTCAGCAACAACACATTCAGTTGACCAAAAGTGATATTAAAGACATTTAGAATGTCTCAAAAAAAAATTTAACATTGATGATAAGACGTTTCTTGAATGCCAAATCAGCATATTTGAATGATTTCTGAAGAATCATGTGACACTGAAGACTGGAGTAATGACTGTTGAAAATTCAGCTTTACCACCACTGGAATACATTACATTTAAAATAAATTAAAATATAAGCACTTATTTTAAATTGTAATGATATTTCACAATATTACTATTTTACTGTATTTGTGATCAAATAAATGCTGCTTGGGGTAGCATATGAGACTTTCAGAAATATTAAAAAATCTTACCGACCTCAAACCTTTGAACAGTATTGAATATAACAGAGGTTCTCAAAGTTTACATTCAAAGGTCCGAATCTGAATTCTCATCAACGTCAAAAGGTCCGAAATAATAGTTATAAAAAAAATTGTTTTTAAAGGAAAACTCCACTATTTTTTTAAAATAGGCTCATTTTCCAACTCCACTAGAGTTTTTTTTAATTTTTTTTATTATGCTTCCATTTACAACAAACAAACAAGGTACATAAACACATCACATAATCTAACAACACGTGAACCACCTTAGGTTGAGCATAACCAGTGACAAACAAGATCACAATAAACTAATAATAAAGAAGAAAATAAAAAAAAATAAATAAATAGAACAAATAAAACAAACAAAAAGGGGCTTTTTACATTAGTTTATACATGCCCCAAAAACAAAATCAATTTGAGAGCTTTCTTGTTTTTAACCAATTGTAAAGATTTGCCCAAAATTTTAACCTCATTCATCTACTGGTTAAAGTTTGGTTTAGATTTAAACCATCTACATTTATGAATGAAAAACTTTCCAAGACAAAGCAAGAAATTAATAACAAAATCCAACTCTTTGTTTTCCAGACAAATACCAAACCTAATTAACTTCATCGTAAGGGGTGGGAGTTCAACCTCTCTAGACTGTAGCCAGTTCTGTACATCTCTCCAAAAAAGTTGCACCAAATCACAACAAAAGAAAACATGCTCTAGATTTTCAATATTCGTTTCACATAAAACACAATTATTCACATCCAAATTAAATTTCAGTCTTAAAAATTCATTGGTAGGATAAATCTCATTTTAAACTTTTGAAGTTCACCTCCTTAACTTTAGGAGGAAGAGGAAAAGATATATAGCTTTACTCCCTTAGAGTTAAACAGTTGAGTTTTACCGTTTTCGAATCCAATCAGCCGATCTCCGGGTCTGATGGTAGCACTTTTAGCTGCAGCTTAGCATAGATCATTGAATCTGATTAGACCATTAGCATCTCGCTTAAAAATGACCAAAGAGTTTCGATATTTTTCCTATTTAAAACTTGACTCGTTACATCGTGTACTAAGACCGACGGAAAATGAACATTTGCGATTTTCTAAGCCGATATGGCTAGGAACTATACTCTCATTCCGGCGTAATAAGTTAGCCTATTTTCAGGTGCTGCGTAATATCATTGCGCCTGCTGCACCCATGGTATGGCAGCAAAGTTCCTTCATTATTACGCCGGAATGAGAGTATAGTTCCTAGCCATATCGGCCTAGAAAATCGCAACTTTTCATTTTCTGTCGGTCTTAGTACACGATGTAACTACAGAAGAGTCAAGTTTTAAATAGGAAAAATATAGAAACTCTTTGGTCATTTTCGAGCGAGATGCTAACGGTCTAATCAGATTCAATGATCTATGCTAAGCTACAGCTAAAAGTGCTACCGCCAGACCCGGA